TCTCCCTCCTTCTCTAGCCCCTTCCCCCTCCTCACACACCCCATAGGCTAGCAAGCTGCAGCACGCAGAACCAGTTGGGCTCCTTTATGTCAAAATAGCAAAACACCAAAAAGGAAGTTGAGAGAGGCCCACTCATTACTACCCAAGCCACATTCAAGCCTTCCTGACACCCCATAACCGTGTGCCTTGTACCAAATGGAAAATAAATGACAAGCAGCCAGGAAAAAAAAAAAAATACTGTTCACTTGGCATTTTTTTCTCACTTAGATCTTGCAAATTCAGCACATATAGTCTGCTTCTTTTTTGAATGGCTGCATAGTGTTTCATTGTGTGGATGAAACAACTTATTTAGTCTGTGAAAATAATAAAGAAAACCTGATTCAAAATGGAGCCGGGGAGCAGTGAAGATAGGGGTCGCATCACTTTGCAACTTACTTTACATCAAGCACGTCAAACTTGCGGCCGACAATGAATATTTTTGCAGTCCAACCAATATAACAGTATGTCAGAAACGTTTTGATAAAAATTTTGTGACTTAATTTTCACAATATCCTGTTATACCTAATTATTAATAATGAACTACAATGTTCGCTAATGACCTATAACCGTGTTGCATTCATTTCCTTTATGCGCCTTACACACATGCGCACCATTTCTGTCCACTAATACTAGCAGCAAATATTTTAGCAGCCGATGGCCACATCATTCATCTTGGACTGACTTGTTTGGTGTGCGCAACAGGAAATATTTCGCTTTCAGAGAACAAGAAAAATAGGTTTATTTGTGCGGCACTTATTAATTTGTGCAGTTATTCAGTGTCTGGTAAATTAATGTTCAAGAAAAAATATTAATTTTTATTAAAATGTTCTATTACAGTATTTTTAAAAATGTATTTTATTGATTTTTTCACAGAGAGGAAGGGAGAGGGATAGAGAGTTAGAGACATCGATGAGAAAGAAACATCGATCAGCTGCCTTCTGCACACCCCCTACTGGGGATGTGCCCACAACCAAGGTACAAGCCCTTGACCAGAATCGAACCTGGGACCCTTCAGTCCTCAGGCTGACGCTCTATTCACTGAGCCAAACCGGTTAGGGCATTTTATGGTATTTTATGTTAACAGTTATTTATTTCAGCCCTTTGTATTCAGCATGTCGCTATTGAAATAAGCCTACGTTTCTATGAAAATTGAAGCTTTTGTTTTTTGTGGCCCACATAAACTTAAACCCTGGTTATTTGGCCCATATTAGCCTTTGAGTTTGACCTGCTTGCTTTACATATACCAGCAGGAAGAAAGGTTTTCTCCTTACCCAGCAACAACCCAGCCAATGAGAAGCTGCCACAAAAAAACACAAACAAAAAAGAACTATGGTCTCTCCTCATGCATAATTTTAACTAAATGGATAGACTACCAAAATTAATTTAGAACTCCAGTGACCATTACAGGGAATTGTGACCTCCCCAAACTTGTGTTTCTCAGAACTAAATTAGAAGATCATGGCTCTAAAAGTAAACAGACTGAATGGGATGCCTATTTTAATTGGCACCTGAAGACTTCCAAACCTATTCAAGACTCTGAAGTCACTGGGGTAGTAAAAACACAATACAACATACAAATGATGTATGGTAGAATCCTATACCTGAAACCTATCTAACTTTATTAACCAATGTCACCCCAATAAACTAAAAAAGGCTCTAAAGTCGCCACTTTACAAAATATCACTTATAGATTAAACAAATAATTGAAAGAAAATAAAAGCTTCTGGGGCCTCTTTTTCCCATTCACCATCCTCTCTGTCTCCAACACCATCTTCCTCTTTCCTTTCTGAACCATCCTGTGTCCTTCCCCTGCCCTCTTTGTCTCTGGGCATGTGGCAGCTGTCTTGTGCCCAGGTTCTCCCTACTGCACAGTCCCCACCCGCTCTGTGCCCGCCACTTCTTCATTCTGCTCCTCTCCCTGGACTTCCCTTTTCCTCCTAACCTCTCCCCACTCCTTCCTCCCCTGAACCTGTTAGAGTCAGACCCTCTGAGGGTCCAAACGTGAAGCCTCTAATTTCTTATGTTCCCTGGACTAACTAACGCCGAATTGGGAGCCATAGTCAGGGATTTTTCCACAGTAACTGAGGATCCCAGATTTGCTGAAGAATTTAATGTGGTAATTCAAGTTGATCAACCTGGTTTCTCTGTCTTATATCAGCTAGTTCACATGCTTGCTGGTGAAGGCCAGGCCTACACTGGATGAATCCTACTAATTGTGTCTCTCTCATCGATGTGTCTTTTTTAAAAAATATATTTTTCATTATTGATAGTATTACAGATATCTCCCATTTCTCCCTCCTTTACTTCCCTTCTCCCAGCTCATACCGCTCCCAGGTCTTCATGATCCTATAAGTATGTAAGTTCTTTGGCTTATCTCTTCTTGTCCCCTCAACCCCACATGGAGGTTCCATGGCTCCATCACTGATGTTTCTTCTATCTCTCTATCCCTCTTCCTCTCTCTCTAAAAAGAAATACATTTAAAAAAATGCAACCAATTTCTGGATATTTATTTTGTATCCTGATACTTCACTGAATTTATTTATCAGTTCTAGTTTTTTTGGGTGGAATCATGTCATCTGCAAATAATGTTTTACTTCTTTTTTTCCAATTTGATTACCTTTTATTTCTTCTTCTTGTCTGATCGCTGTGGCTAGGACTCCCAGTACTATGTTGAATAGGAGTGGTGAAGTGGACATCCCTGTCTTGTTCCTGATCTAAGGGGAAATGATTTTAGTTAAGTATAATGTTAGCTGTGGGTTCGTCATATATAGTCTTTATTATGTTGATGTATGTTCCCTCTATTCCCACTTTGCTGAGAGTTATCCCAAAGGAGTGCTGGATTTTGTAAATGGGTTTTTCTGCATCTATTTATATGATCATGTGATTTTTAGCCTTCATTTGGTTTATGTAGTGTATCACATTAATTGTTTGGTGACATTTTCCAGTTTCTTGACTGATCATTCTTGGGATTTGGGAAAACATACACTTCTCAAGAAACGCTGGGAAAGGAATTCCCACATGTACACACAAGGAGGAAGCCGCAGAGGCACAGGAAGGTGAGAAGAACATAGGGTATGAAAGCTAAGTTACAAGAGAGGTTAAATAGGAAAACTGAGGTAATCAAGATAAAAACTATTGATTTGTTAACTAACTTACCAGTCATCTTAAGGGACAGTTTAGGGGAGCAGTAAGTTGTACAGCAGCTGGCTTTGGAGTGAGACCTGGCTTGGATCCTAGCCCTTAGATTTACTAGATATGTGATCCTGGGCAAATTACTTATTACTATGTCACTGAGCCCCAGTCTCCTCCTCTACTATAGGGAACCAATACCAACCATCAGGTGAGCAGTTGGAGGTTACCCTACTTAGAAGTTAGCAAGTTAGTCTGTAACTGTTTCATGGATGCTGGCAGAAGACAAGAGCCTCCTACGCGAGAGACAAAAGATCTGATTCATGGCTCAACAAGCAGCCTCAGCATCATGTATGCATTCGTTCTTTTTGCCTCCCAAGTTCCACAGAGGCAACATGGGGGGCCCATATGGATGGTAGGTACACAGTGAGTTGCATTATAGGGGAGGAACAATGAGCTTGGGGAATCTGCTGCTGGTTAGTAAGTGGTAAGTTACTCTTTGACCAGATAGACACATCACCTCTCCCTCAAGGTTCTTGCTGGGAACACAATCCTGAGAAATGGCCTGGGTAGAGTGGCCAGAGCCTTGCCTTTTTGTTTGTTTGTTTTTGTTATACTCAAGGTTATGGTTGATTGCAGCAAAAGGATACAGATTAAGATCAGCAAAGGGAAAAGGCACTTGTGGCAGAGTCCAGAGAAAGAAGGCCTAAACTTCCAGGTGTTCTCGCCCAGTGGCGTTGAACAGAAATGCATTTAATTCTCCCAGTAATGATTTGTGATAATATAATATATACAAATTGCTGCCAACCAGAGCAGCTCACCTGAGCCTTGCTGTCCAGGATTTTTATTGGGAGTCGGTCACATAGACAGGGAGTGCCTACACCACTGATCTCAGCTACTTACATTCCAGTCTCCCCGAGCAAAAACAGGCATTCGCCATTAATCACATTGTTAGGATAAACTTACCTGGTCAGACTAATACAGCATGGCTCAAGGCCTCCAGCATTCAAAAACACTCTAAGTAGACAAAATATTCCGAGGGCTCAGAATTTATCTCCCACAGTTAGCCAAATGCCAGTCCTAAAAATGAGCTTTTTTTTTTTTTTTTTTTTTAATGTGCAGGGTTTAAGCAATCTCAGTCTGCTGAGTAGCCCTTTTCTGCACACACCTGATCTCTAAGAATTAGAAGCAATTTAGATCCAATGCCCAGTTCTCCAGTGCCCAGCCACCCTGGTGAATGACTGCTGGTACATTTGGGAAAGGCTAGGAAGACCTACTGAATGTTATTGCCAATGTTAACATGGTCCTTCATCAATAGGACCCAGCCTCCCCTCATTCAGTGGGGCTTTAGGTCTGGAATTGGCTAATGCCTGAGAATTTGAGGGCAGGACCTTGCATTTTGGGCATACTCGGCAAGATATGTAGCAACATGAGGAGCATGGAGGAGCATCTCCTAACACCTACTTTATGCAGTTCTTATCAAAATTAGATTGGGATGCACATAAAGTGTCTAACATAGTACATGGGACATCATAAATGTACAACAAAGTGACTGTAATACTATTGCAGTAGGCAAAGAATAAGCAAAATGGATCCAGTTGATGCAGACTACTGCGTCAAGAAATTTAGCTGAAGCTCTAGCCGGTTTGGCTCAGAGTGTTGGCCTGTGGACTGGAGGGTCCCGGGTTTGATTTCGTTCAAGGACACATGCCCGGATTGCGGGTTTGAACCCCAGTGGGGGGCATGCAGGAGGCAGCCAATCAATGATTCTCTCATCATTGATGTTTCTATCTCTCCCTTTCTCTTCCTCTGTGAAATTAATAAGCATATATTTTTTAAAAAAATTTAGCTGGAAATAGATGGGGACAGAGGCCAGAGGGAAAGTTCTTTATTGTTTTTTAAAGAGAGTTTAGCATGTTTGTAGGCTTGGGTGTGTGTGTTCCAGAAAAGAGAGGGACTCTAAAACAATAAAACTAAGAAGAGAGAGAGAATTAATAGATGGAGCAAAGTCCCTGAGGGGGCAGTTGATGAAATCCAGGCACAGCTATATTGATGAGCATTGCATGTGAGAGGCTTTTAAAAAAAAATGTTTTTATTGATTTTAGAGAGGGAGAGGTAGAGGGAGAAACGATTTGAAAGAATCAGTTGGCTGCCTCCTGCATGCCCCCTACTGGGGATTGAGCCCACAACCCTGGCATGTGCCCTGACTGGGAATCAAACCAGTGACCTCTTGGTACATAGGACTACACTCAACGGAGCCACACTGGCCAGGGCATGAGGGACTTCCTTGAGGTGGGATGGAAGCAAGTAAGCGTGGTCTCACTGGTAAATTTGGAGTCAGAGTGGGGAGTGGACTGTTGAAGGAGTTTCTATTTAATACCTTGTTTTCTTCGTGAAGAAGGTACTCACTGGCTCAAGATAGATGGAAGACTTAAGTGACACTGAAGGCTTAACTGAGGTTGGAGATCACAAGAGACCAGTTTTTCTTCATAGCTCATATATAGGCATAGAGGCAGATGGGAGATTAACCCATATTGGGGCTGTGTATTAGTTTTTTTGGTTGCAAGTAAAAAAACTCAAACTACCTGAAGCAGAAGGAGAAATTACTGGAAGGATACAGCTGGTCATCAAATGGGCCCTGGGACTGAAGGACTTTAGGAAACCTAGGAAGTTGTCTCTCATCTCTGCCCTCTGGCCCACATACTGGAACTTGGCCACCAATGGCTCCCAAGTATTAATGACTTACAGTCAGGTCCAAAGAAAATTATAAATTCCTAGGTGAAGAAATAGTTAGGCCGGCCTAGTGATAAAAGTAAGGAAAAGAGCCAGTTCTAAAACAGGGGGCTAGGCAGTCATCTAATAGGTCTTTGCCAGGGTAGGGCAGGTCTCCATCAGAACTGTAAAAATTTCTACTTGGTTAAGGAACTAGACTTACATTTTATAAACAGTAATTCCACAAGGGACATAATCCATTCAACAGACATTTTAATGAGACCCAATCTGGTCTGACCCCTACCTTGGGGTAGCTCATCATCCAAGGAGAAACAGTTATAATGAAACTTGCTAAACACCAGAACAGAGATCATTACAAAAGCTGTGTTCCCCAGTTGCTCCTGACTCCAGGGCTGAGATCAGAACTAAAGTGGGGGATGCCCCCTTCTAGCTGTGGTACTGAGACGAGTCAGGTTTGGAAATTCCAATTTGGTGCAGCCACCCAAAGCAGTGATAGGCCTGTTCATTCAATTCAGTAAAGCTTTACTGAGCACCTACCTACTCGGGGTGGGTGCCCTGGAGGCTTATCAAAGATTAAGTGAGACACATTGCTACCTCTGGAGCTTCAGTGAGGGGCAGGCATGAACACAACTTGATGACTATATACTCTTTCTGTTTTGTATGCAATCACCTAACTTTCTACCCTCCTTGAATGGCCTCACCTCGTTTTATGAAAAAAATGTTGACTGAGGACTCATGGAAGGTTCTGTGTTGAAGTGAAATCTAGGCTCTTCTAACCACTGGCTGATGGAACCAATCCAAACCCACCAGATCAAGTACAAGCCGGTCCGGCTTTCACCTCTTGCTACTAACCCATACGCCTCCCCCTGCTTTTCCTTAAGATCAACCTTGTCCCACCGCTCGCTGAACTTATGTCCCAGACCCAACTTGAACCAACTGTCCAGAGTGCAGAAGACTTAGCTTCACAGCATGTGGTTTAAAAAAAGAACCTTAGGTTTTGGGGTGTCTCCAACCCAGTAAACCCCAGGTACAGGCTGCCACTCCTCCCAAATCCAATGCAATCTAGAGCAGTTAAAACAAGTCCAGACCAAGGAGGTATACACTGTGGTGCTGGCTTATTTTTGTATGACCCTTTAAAAGGAACACTGAAGATCATGTTTGCAGACCATGTGTGGGAACTGAAACCCTATCTTTTAGGAATGATTGACCAAATGCTGTTAACCTGAACGGCTGCCACGTAGAGGAAATATTAAACATGTTCTGGGCAAGGCATACAGGGAAGGAGAGTCCGGCACTTAACCACCCTCTAAAGATCACAGCTATCCCACAAAGAAATGACCTGCCTTGTGAGGTAGTGACCTCCCTGTCAAGGGAGGTTTAAAGCAGGAGTAGAACACCACTTGGCAGGAGTGTTGTAAAAAGGGGGCCACACGTAAGGAGGAAGAGGCAGAGGTGGGGAAGATCCTCCTGACCGCATGTAAGGGGAGACCCCTATATGCAAATTAGAAAGGCAGCCAGCCCCTGAAGTATAAGGGGAGGAATTTTACCCTGATGGTCACACACACAATTTCTTTTAGGATTGGAGAGCTTGTTAAACTTGAACCAAATGATGTGACCTCTCCTAATGGGACCATCTGTTCTCGACAGAGTAAGGCAGCCAGGGTGGTAGAATGTACTCAAGTTCAGGTCTGTGGCAGGAGACCTGGGTTTTCCTTCTGAACCTGCCTGTATGACCTAGGGCTTCTCCTTCCCTTCTCTGGCCTCTCAATGAAATGAAATGAACTTAAGACAGTCCTTCCCATTCTAAAGGGTACTGCCCTTTTGACCGGTTCCCTCTATAGCAGATCTAGGGCTGCAGTTTTGGACTCGGGGGCTGCACTTGTGCACGGCCAGCGACCACCTCTGGCGAAAGCAGCGGCCACACTCAAGGCAGGGGAAAGGCTTCTCCCCGGTGTGCAGGAGCTGGTGCTGCGCCAGGTGGCTCCACTGGGCAAAGCGCTTGGAGCACAGGTCGCAGGCATAGGGCCGCTCGCCTGAGTGGACGCGCCTGTGACTGGCCAGCAGGGAGGGGTAGGCGAAGCGGCGGCCGCAGTCATCACAGGCGTGCAGCTTCTCCTCGGTGTGCGTGCTGCGATGTATGGCGAGGGAGCCGCTCCGGCGGAAGGCGCGGCCGCAGTCTGGGCAGGGGTAGGGCTTCTCTCCCGTGTGCAGGAGCTGGTGCTGGAGCAGCGTACTGCGCTGGGAGAAGCGGGCCTCGCAGTGCTCACAGGCATAGGGACGCTCGCCGGAGTGCACCCGCCGGTGGCTCACCAGGCGGGAGGATGAGGAGAAGCGCCGCTCGCAGTCTGGGCACGGGTAGGGCTTCTCGCCGGTGTGGATGCGCTGGTGGATGACCAGGGCGGTGCGCTGGCGGAAGCGGCGGTTGCATTCCAGGCAGGTGTAGGGCTTCTCTCCCGTGTGCGTGCGCTGGTGGATGGCGAGCAGGGACGGGTAGGCAAAGCGCCGCGCACAGCTAGGGCACTGGTGGGGTTTTTCCCCTGTATGTGTGGTCCGGTGATTGGCCAGGGACCGGCTCCTCCGGAAGCAGCGGCCGCAGTCAGGGCAGTGGTAGGGCTTCTCGCCCGTGTGGATGACCTGGTGCTGGGAGAGGTTCTTGCGCTGGGAGAAACGTTTGCCACATTGGTCACAAACATAGGGACATTCACCAGAGTGCGCCCGCCGGTGGCTGACCAACAGAGAAGGGTAGGAAAAGCGGCGCCCACAGTCGGGGCAAGGGTAAGGCTTCTTCAGATTCTGGGCACACTTGTGGCTTTTGAGAGCCGGGTGATCAGGGAAGGTACAACCACAGTCAGGGCAGATGGGACCCCCAGATGTCTGTCTGGGAATCAGTCGGGGCTTGCTGGGCTTCCGTCCTCTCTTCCCCTTCCGGGGTGCCTCCTTAGGTGGGAATACTTCCTCTTCTCCGTTCTTCTTTCTGGTTCTGGTTTCTACAGGGACACGGGAGAAATTAATTTAACACATACTGGGCTACGACTCTTGCCTATTATAGTGTTTATAGGTTATAAGACAAATAAGTTGGCCCGTCTTCCAGGAGTGTTAGTGACACAGACAACCGAGTGTGACATGCTACTAATCAAGTATGGAGGGAATTACAGGAGCCCCAACCCAGCTTGGAGAAGTTGGGGAAGGTTTCTCGGAGATTAAGCTGACTTTAAAAATTAAACGTTTCTGAAGAGGTAAGTATAAGGTAGAAAGTGGAAACAACGTATGAGCTAGCATAGACTAGGTCATAGGCCCTCTAAGCCAATGGTTCTCAAGTTTTATTGTGATCAGAGTCATTTGGAGGGCTCCTGGAACAGACTGCAGGGCCCTGCTCCCAGTGTTCATTCAGCAGGTCTGCATCTGTAACATGATCAGGGTGATGCCCATACTGGTCTGAGGACCACACTCTTAGAACCACTGCTGTAAGGACTATGAACTATTTTACCCAATGGCTCTCAAACCTAAACATGCATCCCAATCCATTGGGGCTAGTAAACCACACACATTCCTAGACATCTATAAAGGTGAATAAATAGTTCTGGTATGGGTTCCCCCAAGTGACGAGTATAACTGATGGCCATTTGATAACCCATCTTGGCAAAAAAGGAATAGTTTTTTTATCCTCACCCAAGGACATGCAGAGAGAGAGGGTGGGGGGGGGGGGACACATCGATGTATGAAACATCAATAGGTTGCGCTCCCTACATTCCCTAGGGACCAAACCCTCAAGCCAGGTATGTGCCTGACCAGCAATCAAACTGACAACCTTTCCCTGCACAGGACAACGCTCAACCGAGCCACGCCAGGTGGGCTGAATGGTTTTCTTCTTCCCTTTATTATTATTTTCCCATCACCATTTACAGGCTGAATGGTTTTCATTTTGTTTTAAATTTTTTTTTTTAAATATATTTTATTGATTTTTCACAGAGAGGAAGGGAGAGAGATAGAGTTAGAAACATCGATGAGAGAGAAACATCGATCAGCTGCCTCCTGCACATCTCCCATTGGAGATGTGCCCGCAACCCAGGTACATGCCCTTGACGGGAATCGAACCTGGGACCTTTCAGTCCGCAGGCCGACGCCCCATCCACTGAGCCAAACCGGTTTCGGCTATTTTTTTTTCTATTGATTCAGAGAGAGAGGGAGAGATAGAACCATCAATGGTCAGAGAGAATCATCAGCTGGCTGCCTCCTGCATGCCTCCTTCCCAGGCAGGAGCCCTGACTGAGAATCAAACCGTGACCTCCTGGTTCATGGGTTGAAGCTCAACCACTGACCCACACCTGGCTGAATGGTTTTAAGCAAGGAAATGTCAGATCTGAATCTTAGAAAGATAGCCCTGGTCTTAGGGAATCCGACAGTTCCATCTGCCCCTGGGGGTGGATCTGGGGCCATTCTACCTGAACGGCATTAGTCAGAGCCTCGCTTGATCCTGAGGAGAGTGCTGCCAGAGGTCAGAAAGAGGCCCCTGCACCCCAGGCAGCTGTTCTCCACAAAGGCCCTTCCACCCAAACACAGAATTCGGAGAGGTATAGGTTCTCTCTCCGAGGAGGGTGGGCAGGGATCCTGGGAAGGAGGCGGGAGGGTAGCAGCTTCTCTAGTCACACAATAGAGAACTACACACACAGTCAAACCTCGGTTCTGGAAAGTTCCTATCATGAACAATTTGCTTCTCAACCTGACAACCCTTTCAAGCTGATACCTGCATGATCATGTGCAACAAACAAAGGAGAGAATGTGCAAGTAGGAGTCAGTTTACCACTGTTAAAATCTCAGGATATTGTGCTGTGAATATTTTCATGGGTTTTTGGGGTTTTTTTTGCTTTTGTTGCTGCTTATTATTAAATCTTCATATTTTACTGTACATTTCCTTTTCTTTTTATTAAATTTCATTTATATTTCATGTCTTTTTTGCTTTTCAAGTATCTACAAATATTTATAGATTAAACAGTACATTAGACATGTACTGTATATAAAAAAAGGTTAAAACAGAATCATTTGGGAGTCTGGGGTGAATTAATTCAATTTACAGTACTTCGAATGGGAAAAATATAATTCGGTTTTCGAACAGCCTTACGGAATGAATTCAGTTCGAGAACCGAGGTTCCACTGTAGCTGGTCTTCAAGCTGATAGGGAATCTCTGTGGTGGACCAAGCCAACACTGTCATAAACGGTCCCCTGAAACCGTGAAAAGGAACTCGGTAAATGGAGAACTGCAACATGGGTCACAGCCACCCAAACTCGGGACCGAGTCACCACAAGCTGCGGGCCCTCCACGGGCATGTTCCACTCACTTCTTTGGACCATTAGTCCCCTGGGGCACTCCTGTGGGTCCAGGGCAGCTGGTTCCCAGTCTTCGGTATTTCGTTCCAACCAGGAGATGAGGGCTGGTTTGGGACCCGCGCACCCTGGGGAAGGAGAACCAGCTCATAAGTAACTCCGGGTCAATATGTTCCCGGAGCATCTGCTGCCAAGCCCCCATCCTGGTCGCAGTCCAGGACCCTGGACACCCTGCCCCCTCCCCCCGCCAGCTCCCCGTCCCCTCTGCCCCGCGGCAGCGGATTGGACCGGGCCTCACCGAGCGCGCCCAGGTGGCCGTAGTTCTCCCGCATCACGTCCCGGTACAGGGCCCTCTGCGCGGGCCGCAGACACCCCCATTCCTCCGGGGAGAAGTACACGGCCACGTCCGCGAACTTCACCGCCCTGGGCTTCCTTCCCCTTCTCCGGCCGGGTCCGGCCTCTCCGGGTCCCCGCGCGGAGCGTGGAGCGGACGGCGGTGCCATTGGGCCAGAGAAGCCGGCGCCACGACCTCCCGTTCCCGGCTCGGCCCCTAGCGGACCCCGGGATTTGGGAGCCCTCGGGGTCCCGGGACTGACGTCCTAGGGCAGGCCAGGAGGGGATCGCAATCAGCCGCCTGCGGGGCTAACGGAAACCTCTCGCTGTTATTCAGGAAACTCCTGCCCGAACGTGGGGGAAAGGCACCGGAAGATGCCTTCGGCGAAAATGGCGGCGCTGCTACTGCACCGCCTCGGCCTGGAACACAGGCAGCTTCCAGCTATCGATTTTATTGACCAGAGCGCCATGACGGCTTCCTACCCTCTTTGCCCTCAAGTGTGATGGCGCTGCGATTGGGCTTCACGCCCTTTTTCCTCCTCTCCCACGCGCTCATTGGGCGGCGGTGGAAGATCGAGCGTTCTGATTGGCTGCTGACGAAAGCGGCCTGTTTGAACGAAGCCAACGGCAGTGTAAGGGCAGGAAACTGGCCCCCGGTGTAGGGTGACGGAGTTTTGAGGCGGGAAAGCCTCCAAGTGGCCTGGGATTAGCCGGCGGCGGTCGGAGCGCTGCCCACCTGAGGGAGGGGCCGGTCTGAGGAGGGAGCCGCTGGGTTCCTTTTCGCGTCTTTCTAGATCAGCGGTTCTCAACCTGTGGGTCGCGACCCTTTGGGGGTCGAACGACCCTTTCACAGGGGTCGCCTAAGACCATCGGAAAACATAATTACATATTGTTTTTGTGATTAATCACTATGCTTTAATTATGTTCCATTTGTAACAATGAAAATACATCCTGCATATCAGATATTTACATGACGATTCATAACAGTAGCAAAATTACTACTAGTTATGAAGTAGCAACGAAAATAATTTTATGGTTGGGGGTCACCACAACATGAGGAACTGTATTAAAGGGTCTCGGCATTCGGAAGGTTGAGAACCACTGTTCTAGAGGAACCGTCTCTTTGGATAATGGGGAACTTCCTCGTTGCCCTTTTGGGAAGGGAATTACTGTTAGAGTTTGGTCTGTGCTGGCCACATACCCAGCATATTACACATTCTATTGCATTTATTCTTTGCCACCGCTGTGTGAGGTAATGGTTATCATTCCAGTTCCACTAGCGAGGAAGGATACTGCTAGCAAAATGGAGAGATTTAGACGGGGGCGGGTGGGGGCCGAGGGGGGGCCCATAGGGTCTTATTCATGCCGCTGACTAGGCACTCTCCCCTCCCACTACCTTGATTTGCTGGGTAACTCAAGAACCCCCCGGAGCGCCTGGCCTCCTCTAGGGTTCAATCTTTTGTGTATCCATACTTTATTTTTACGTGACACTTGTTCAACGTACAAAGCATCGTGGTAGATAGTGAGAAGAGGCTGGGTACAAAAATAAGCCCTGAATGAAGTTTACAGTCTAGTGAGGCACAGAAAGTCACAACTAATAATGATACAAGCATGTATGGGCAAGATACATTAGGAAAGAAAATTGCTGCTGGGACCAGTCAGCTCAGCACCTACGCCCATCGGTCTGTCCCCCCTTCTGTGTACGTGTCGTGGTGCATAGTTTTGCCAGCTCATCATTGCCCAGGGGGGCTGGGGACAGGAGAATACACCATTTGCTATACAGTCAAACCCTGGTTCTCCAACCTTCCCATCTCAAACAATTCAGTTCTAAGTTCTCGACCAAGCTGTTCACTGAAAAATGTCTCAGTTGTTGACCAAAACTTCAATTTCGACCTGACAACCCTTTCACGCAGACACCTCAGCATGACAAAAAGCATCTCTCAGGCAACAAAGGAGAGAATGAACCTACTATTCGCACAATTAGAACATAAAGAGGCCATCAAGAGTGCTAATGTTGCTAAGGACATAAAGGTGCTCACAAAACAACAATCACAGGCGATTGAATAGGTAGAAAAACTGTGTTGATTGGATAAACAAAAAGCAGTTAGCTAGTGACAGCAGTTCAGAGGCAGTGATGTAAGAAACATTCCTTTAAGGCTAGTGGGGGATAGTTCAATAAATTTAAGAAAAGAAGTGTTTATTTATAGATTAAACAATACATTAGACATGTACTGTATATGAGAAAGGTTAAAACAGGGAATCATTTGGGGGTCCGAAACAGACTAATTCAATTTACATTATTTTAAAAGTAAAAATGATTCCGTTTTCTAACAAATCGCTTCTTGAATAACCTTCCAGAACTAATTAAGTTCTAGAACTTAGGTTTCACTGTATCTTTTTCTTTTTTAATCCTCACCCGAGAATCAACTTTTTCCATTGATTTCTAGAGAGAGTGGGAGGGAAGGAGGGGGGGGGAGAGAGAGACACACATTGGTTGGTTGCCTCCTGCACAAGCCCTTGACCGGGAATCCAACTGATGACCGTTCAATTCATAGGCCGATGCTCTAATCACTGAGTCAAACCGGCCAGGACTTCACTGTATCTCTTACGTCAGCTGATGACATACATATTTATCTTTCCAACCCATTAATATTTTTAATGATTTTTTAAAAAGTTATCTTTATTGTTAAGAGTATTACAAATGTCCTCCCTTTTCCCTTCCTTGCCCCCCTCTACCCAGCTCCCATCCCACCCCAGGTCTTCACCACCCTATTGTCTGTGTCCATGGTCAATGCATATCTATACATATAAAAGGCTAATATGCTAAGTGTCCATCTGACCTGTAGCTATGATGCCCACTGACCACCAGGGGGCAGACGCTCAATGCAGGAGCTGACGAGCTGCAGTGACTTGGCAGCGGCGGTTCTCCAGCACCCACCCCGAAAACAGAGAGGAGGGAGCCTGATTCCTCGTGGGGCCATGTGATTCTGAAAGGACAAAGCAGAAACATACTCCCCTCCCTCTCCCCTATCTTGCCTTATAGGGCTGGGCCCTCAGCCCAAGCCCCCTCCTTTTCTGAGTGACCACAAGAATGCCGGTATTGACCTAACTCCCCCAACCACCACCTGAGTGGACCAATGAAGCTCCAGGAATGCAGCTAAGGTCCTGATAAGGCTATAGTGGGGGACGGCCCAAGCCTCAGAATGTGCTGGTCACTTCCTGACCTTTGTGCTATAAGACCCTGATGAAAAACCCTGACCTAAATGACCAATCTCTGTAACCCACGTCACCCCCTAAGCCCACCCAAATAACTAGCCCTATATAACCTTTGTTCTCCTGGGACACGCTCTCTCGCCTTACCGCTGCGTCAGACAGAGGCTGGGAGCCAAACCTAGGTTTGATTAATAAGATTAATAAAGACTCCTTGCTTTTGCATCGGAAGAGGCTCCCTGGTGGTGGATTATTGGGGACCCCGAACTCTGGACATAACAATTCCACCTTTGGTCCTGGGCTATGTTGTTGCTGGGGCACTGTTGGCCCAGATTCTGGTTTACTGCACACTTGCGTTTGCATTCCACACCCTGTACAACAGCAACTTTGCACTCCAGGACCCCTTGGGGGATGTTGGAGAGCGGTTTTGGCCTGATCCCCGCAGGCCGGGCCGAGGGACCTCACCTGCCAGAGGGACCCTGCTCACTCCTGAGTCGCCCTTTGAGCCGCAGCGCCACCCCAGGTGCAGCTGGCCAGGAAGGGACCATGGGAGGTTGGCTCCAGGGTGTGTCCAGCCCACCTCACCCAGTCCCGTCCTGCTGGCCACCTTCTAATTAATTTCCTTTCAGTGTGCATGAATCCATGCACCGGGTCACTACTATCTATATAAGTTCTTTGGTTAATCTCTTCCTACCCTCCCCTCTTCCCTCTGAGATTCTTCACTCTGTTCCATGCTCCCAGGTCTCTAGATCTATTTTGTTTTTCAGTTTATTTTGTTCATTAGATTCCACATATAAGTGAGATCATGTGATATTTGTCCTTCTCTGCCTGGCTTATTTTGCTTAGCATAATAATCTCCAGGCCCCTCCATGTTGTCTCAAAGAGTAAGAGATTCTTTTTTTATAGCTGCATAGTGTTCTAGCATATAAATATGCCACAGCTTTTTTTATCCACTCATCTGATGGGCATTTGGGCTGTTTCCAGATCTTAGCTATTGAAAATAATGCTGCTCTGAACATAGGGGTGCATATATCTTTTCTGAATAGACTAATAAAACTAAAGAAATTGAAGCTGTAATAATAATAAAAGAAAACTACCAGCAAACAAAAGTCCTGGTCTGGATGGCTTCACAGAGGAGTTTCACCAAACATTCAAAGAAGAACTAACACCTATCCTCCTCAAATTATTCCATAAAATCCAAGAGGAAGGAACACTTCCAAGTTCTTTTTACGAGACCAGCATTATCCTAATTCCAAAACCAGATAAAGACACTACAGAGAAAGAAAATTACAGGCCAATATCCCTAATGAATATAGATGCCAAAATCCTCAACAAAATATTAGCAAATTGGATCCAGCAATATATCAAAAAGATCATACACCATGACCAAGTTGGATTTATTCCAGGGATGCAAGCTGGTACAATATTTGTAAACCAATAAATGTGATACATCACATAAACAAATTGAAAGACAAAAATCACATGATCCCATCAGTAGACACAGAAAAAGCATTCAACAAAATCCAACACCCATTTTAAAAAAAATATTTTTATTGATTTCAGAAAGGAAGGGAAAGGGAGAAAGAGATAGAAACATCAATGATGAGAGAGAATCATTGATCAGCCAACTCCTGCACACCCCACACTGGGGATTGAGCCCACAACCCAGGCATGTGTCCTGACCAGGAACTGAACTGTGATCTCCTGGTTCATAGGTTGACACTCAACCACTGAGCCAGTACGGCTTGGGCTCCAACACCCATTTTTGATAAAAACTCTCAGCAAAGTGGGAATAGAGGGATCATACCTCAACATATTAAAGGCCACATATGACAAACATCATACTCAATAGACAAAAACTAAAACTATTTCCCCTAAGAACAGAAACAATACAGGCATGTCCACTTTCACCACTCTTATTCAACACTAGAGACCTGATGCACGAAATTTATGCAAGGGTAGGCCTTCGCAGCCCCAGCTGCCTGGCGGCCCCAGCCTCCAACCCTCATCAATCGCCCCGCTGGCCGGTGGCCTGGGCCTCCCTCTGCGGGGCGATCGTGGGGCGATGGCGGCCCCACCCACCCACCAATTGCCTCTCATTCACCTTGGCTGGCCTGGCGCCAGTGTGTGTCATAGCATGGTCATCTGAATGGTTGTTCTGCTGTTCAGTTGATTTGCATATTATGTTTTTATTATTATAGATAGTACTGGAAGTCCTAGCCATAGCGATCAAACAAAAAGAAAAAGTAAAAGGCATCCAAATTGGAAAGGGGGAAGTAAAACCGTCA